ATGATTGAGTCTAGTCCTATCCTCTTGTTTTACATGTGAAGAAACTTGGGCCCTAAGCTGTGATAAGTAAAATGATGCCTAGCTTTTCAGTAGCAAATCTAGAATTGGAGCTCATTTTCCCAATTCCAAGTTCACTGTTCTTTCCAGGTGGCCTCATTGGTTGTGAGCTCACTGATTTTTATTAGTTTTAGAGGGAGAACAGTGTTAAAATAATGCACTTCTCAGACTTTAGGCTACAGAAAAATCAACTAGGAAGCTTGTATTTCTGGACTTGTCTTTCCTAAGATTCTGATTCAGTAGGTCTGGTGTAGGGCGTAGGAATCAATATTTTAAACGTATGCTTAGTCAGTATATGTGGTCATAACATAAGGATAGCTCAGAAGAGAGAGCAACAGAACAGAGAGCCTGGAAATGGAACTGCACTAATATGGGCATTTGATTTTTAACAAAGGTACCACTGAAGAAAGGAAATGTTTTCAACAAATGATGTTGGAACAACTAAATATCCATATGGGAAAAAAATGAACTTTAACCCCCCTACCTCCTGCCATACAGATCATTGATCTAAATATGCCAATATCATAAACTTTGTAGAAACAATCATAGTAGAATATCTTGGGAATGAGTAAAGGTTTCTTGGACAGGCCACAAAAAGAAATAATCATAAATTAAAAATTGCTAAGTTATACTTCATCAAGAACTATTGCTTACCAAAAGGCACAGTTAAGACAAGGCATAGGTAGGCCACATAGTGGGAGACAATATTTGCAAAATATGTTTCAGACAAATGACAAGTATGCAGAAGATATAAGTAACTCAGGATATATGAAGATTTTCTGTAAGTTAATCATAAAAGGACAAACTGTTGTAAACTCTTAAGTCTAAAGTTCTCTTTTGGCCAGCAAAAGAGGGGACACAGGATTAAAGTGAGAGACGGCTAATGTCCGGGAAAAGACAAGAGCCCTGAATAAGGGTCCTTGCCTCGTATTTATTCAGGTCAGAAGGCTTGCAAACGTGATGGGCATGTACAAAGAGACAAAC